AGAAATTTGTTAAAATCATTTCACAGATGCCCCCCTCTTGTTTTCCTGGTGGTCGTAGGTTCTATCCTGTCTTATTCCTTTAGGTTCATTTTGATGGAATCTTGGGAGGAAGGAGGAAAAAAAAAAAAAAACCTCATGTACTCAGTCTGCCTCTTGAACCACAAATCAAATGTATTATTTGCAATATAAGAAAATGGGACAATTTAAACATCCTTCAGTAGAGAACTGCTTAAGTAGATTATATTACCTCTGATGTATGGAATACTCTGTACTCAGAAAATAATGAATTAGCTTTATGCAGTAATATGAAAAGGTATGATATAATATTAAAGTAAAGGAGCAAATTACAAAAAGTATGTATAGTAACACCACTTTTAGAAGATATTATTTGTACTTCCACAAAGGATTGGAAGATGCACAGAGAATGGCTAAGAGTGGTCATTTATCTGCCTTAACACTCGACGGCAGTGGACCAGGTGTGGGGCTGGGACACAGAAGGAATCTCATCTTTTTGCTCTATATCATCTGTATTGTTCAAAATTTTTATAGTGCATATGGAAAATCTTTGGGATTAACTGTCATACAAATATAAGACATCCTATTATTTAAATACTCCTATCCTTCCTATATACATAGCTGTTCAACTGAGAAATTAAAGGTTTGCAAATTACACATGATCCATGATACCTGATTTTTTTAAACGCTGGTGGTTATTATGATTGTTTAAAACTTAAGAAAACGTGCTTAACAGTAAAGCTATTGCCAGTTTATGTTTAAAAGCTTATAGACCTTTAAAAAATGTCTTCCAACTCTAAGGCTCTGTGACAATGTTACATGTTGGCAGGTAGAACATGTCCTGTAGAATCAATTTGGCTTGGTATGCTTTTATGTCTGATTTCTGAACTGTTACATAATGACATTGGTAAACTGAGCTAGCTGAACTACGCCAACTTTGATATTTCGGCTAGAAAAATTTTACAACATCTTATTATTAAGGAAGTGGTAAGGAATATAAAATGCCAATCATTTTAATAAAATTAGATTTAGCTTTTTATTTCCAAAGAGCAGGGTTCAGAATAACTCACATGCAAAAGGAGAATACATAGGCTTTAGCAGATGCATGGGTTCCAAAGTCTTTTCTGTTAAAAAAAAATGTGTATCTAGGAATCTATAACCCACCAACTTGTCAATATTTTGGAGTGTGTGAACAAATTCAAAGAAACACTGAAAAGTGGAGCTCAAGTCTGCAGAATTTCATTGGCTTCCAACCTAAAATAAGGCAAAGATTCTATCTCCTAAAATCCGTGCACCATTAAAGGTCACAGTTTCTCTAGCTTTGCTCAGAGAATAGTGAGCATCGTGAAGTGCTGCATTTGGCCTGTTGCCCCAGCTCCACGTGGGTCTGTCCCCCCTGTGAGTTATAGCAGGGCTAGGGCCAGAACTCAGGCCTTCGGAATCTGAATCTAGAACATCCAGTTCTCGACGGTCAAACCAAATTAAGCCATAAACTCAGAGTCAGGTTGAATGCACCATCACTATTTACATATTAGGCAAGATTTGGGGGATGTATGCCTTCTTCTTCTACATACATGGTTTCTGATTTTTTTTTTAAAGATTTTATTTATTTATCTGACAGAGAGAGATAGTGAGAGCAGGAACACAAGCAGCAGGAGTGGGAGAGGGAGAAACAGGCTTCTCGCGGAGGAGGGAGCCGGATGTGGGACTCTATCCCAGGACCCTGGGATCATGACCTGAGCCGAAGGCAGACGCTTAACGACTGAGCCACCCAGGCGTCCGGTTTCTGATTTTTAAATGTCAATTTTCACATCTTCACTCTATAATTGCATCTTTAGTAAAGCTAGATCTTTCTTGAAGGAGGCAAAGTAAAGAACGTTCAATTTGAAAAATCAGAAGGCCAGGCACATCAAAATGCTTGGAGACTGAAGTACTTACTATACATAGAGCATGACTCCTATCATTAACTAGGTGACTGGCATATTGAGAACATCACTTATATATTGAGGGTTTTAAAAAACCTTTTAAAATGAGGTGGTAAGACCATCTTCTCTGGCACTAATAATACAAGTCCCTCCGTTTTCACAGAAATCTACTTTCTATTTCTAACAAGTTTGGAGAATTAGTCATTAAAAGATACCGAGTGTTTCACAAGAAAAAGCTTGATTTGCATTACAAATAACTAAAGCTAATTCTGGGAAACAATAGGGCACCTGAAAAAATCTTTAAAATTTGTGCATTTTTTGAAAGCAATGATAAAAATCTGAACCGTTTATTTCCTGTCTGTTGCCTATTCTACGGAACAGCTGTATGTGAACAGCCAAATCAATTTTGTGCGAGTCACATTTTTATACAAAATAGTTTTCCTAGCCAGGAATACAAGGTAAGAACACTGAAACCTTCATCATTACCTGGAAAACTGTAGAGAAACCCGCCACGTATCTCTTTGAAAAACATTTAAGTGTCTGAAAATGTGTAACGTAAGAAATAGTCCTTGAACAGTTCAAAAACAGCTAGAGAGACCCATGCTCTAACCTCAAGCAATCCCATGCAATTTAACTTTTAAAATACACAGAGCTCACAGAATAGGAGATTTAGCAGCATGGGTGAGATAGGTAGAAAGAACACCTGTGATGAGAAGAAGACTATCTGGGGCACCTGGGGGGGGGGGCCAGTCGGTGGGGCATCCGACTCTTGGTTTCAGCTCAGATCCGGATCTCAGGGTCGTGGGATCGAGCCCGGCGTCTGGCTCTGTGCTCGGCGGGGAGTCTGCTAGAGATTCTCTCTCTCCCTCTCCCCTTCCCCCAACTCTCAAATAAATAAAGAACTCTTCAAAAAAAAAAAAAGACCCATTTAAAAGGCTGAATTTTATGATACGTGAATTATATCAAAAGGAAAAAAAAAAGAGTGTTCCAGTGCTTTAAGTGATTTAAGGGCTGCAGACAGAAGCTCTGGATCATCTCCTCTGGAACCTTTCACCACAGTCTCCTCTTCTGTTTCCCTTCTCCCTCCTGTGCCCACAGAACATCCATGTGATATTGTCGATGGACTCTGGCTTCCTCAGGTACCCCACTGGTCTCTGGGCATCCACAGGGTGAATGTGGCTTTCTGAATCACTCTCCCATTGAGTCTTTTTTAGGGGGACAGGGAATTTTGACTCCATGAAGCTTTGGTGTACTGACAAGTTCTCTGAGACAAAAGAAAGGGAATGGCCATTCGTTAATTGCTAATAAGGGACAGGGTTCTGAATATCTGTTATCCTATTGATTGTCACGAATACTTATAAGGTCAAGATTCTTACTCCCCTACTCTAGATGAAAATACTGAGGCTCTGAGAGCAGGTTCCATTTACACATCTGGTGGGTATTCACCCAGGATTTTATCTTCAGAGGGCACAGCTTAAAACCAGCCTTCTGAACTGAGCAAGGGAAAATTTACTAAAAACAACACCAAGTTCATAAAAAGTGGCATTATTTGCTGATACATTTGAATGGAATTGCACTTCGAACAATCCCCTGTAGAACACTTGTCATTCTAGAAGACAGGATATTTATGGAGATGTGATTTTCTAATATTCAAAAAAAAAAAAAAAGAAGGAAACAGACGAAGACGATTTCCTCGCAACTAAAGATAACAACACAAACCACTAGTTGGGAAAACTAGGCTATTGCCACTTTGGTGGCGCCTGGGCTTGCCAGAGCAAATGAGACAGCTTTCCCCTTTAAATGGACTTGTCTCAGAGTCTCGTCTGCCGTCCCCTCCTCCTCCTGCCAATCAAGCCAGGCGAAGCGAATTTTGGTTGCGCTTTGCCGGGTGCGGAAAGAAGAGCTGCAGCACCTGCAATTATCAGGCCTGGAGTTATCTTCTTCGGTGTTCCTGGACTCGAAATTTGCAAAATTAATCCTCTCTCAATGGTTGCAGCCATTGACTGCTGCATGGCCAGTGGTGTATGAGAAGAACTCGGGTTCTGAGAATTGCTCATGGGTATTACATCTTGATAGACTACCACGCTTGGAGATCGACTCCCTGGGTTCGAATCCCAGCTCCACCTTTTCCTTGCTGTGTGACCTTAGCAAGTTACATAATCTCTCTGTGCCTGTTTCCTTATCTATATAAAATATGGATGAAACAGCTCCTATCCCCTAGGGTTGTTGAGAGGGTTCAGTAATTTAGCACATGAAAAGCACTAAGAATAGCGCCTGGCACATAGCATCTGTGCTGTTTAAGTTCCCGTTCAAGAAATCATTACAAAATAAAAATGAATATGGCTGTTCACTAAATGACTTGAAGAAATTGCTTTCCTTATATTATTTTGTTAACTAATCTGTGCATGCTCACGTGAATTAGGATTGGTCAAAATGAATTCGTATGACCTGATTTGCTTTGCATAAAATACAATCAGCCAGCAACCCAGAAGGAAGTATCAACGAAGATCTAAACTTCCGCGGGAAAATGGGTAAAAATGGCCTCTCGATGTTGATGATATTACCCAAAATGACTGCAGCTCTTCAGAAGATATACACATACTATACACATATACCATTGCCCTGGGCAGATGAAGCAGAAAGAAGAGAAACACGGCTTTTACTTCAGACCTGTAGGGAATGAAGCTCCAGACAGGATCATCGATGGCCCCTGTTTGAACTCCAACAGAACGAAGACTGGACCGTACCTCGGCTTTTCAAAGAGCCTCCCCCATCTCAGAGAAACCATTTAGCCCAGTATCTAGTGCATAACCATGTTTCTCTTGGAAGGAACAAAGGCTGGCTTAAATATGTAGGTGTTAAATATTTATTTGCAAGGACTTTAAAAATTTCCTCCACCCACACTTCTCATGTCAAGGAGGCCAGGCGGTGCTTTGGCATTCCCCAGTGGCACCTTCTCCAGGTCCAAGGACGTCTGGACCCTGCTGTGTCACGCTCCTGGGAAGGAATGAATCATCCAATAGGGACAGACGGTTTCCTCTGGAAACAGACCAAGCTTACCCAAATAGTTGTTGCTCTTGTGCATCTCGGTGATGTTGATTTTGGTGGCTCCTTGGGGAATCTCGACCACTCGGTGGTAGCCCAGGCTGGTGAGGGCGTGCTTGAATACGCCTGACACAACCTGACAGCCCGTGTTGTCGCCTCCGCACACCCCGCACTTGTCCACCACTTTGTCCGAGCCCAGGTAGTCATCACAGCCAATGCTCTGCCGAGAGGTGGAAAACAAAAGACTTGGAGCACATCACAGGAGCATGGGGGGGGGAGGTGGGGAGAGGGGGCAATGGAAGATCTGTTGGTGGGTCTTGCACTGACCTCCCTCATGCCCCCATTCAGCTCCTGCAGGTGTCCAAGTGCATTCTTTCCTCACTCGACAGAGAGTCACAAAGCACCCACTCTGGGCAAGCAACTTCTTCCCAAGGTATGTGTGAAATGTACACTCTAGGGGCAGGGGGCAGGCCACAGACAGCAAACAGGACAAGTAAATCAAACGGTATGCTTGGTGATGGCGAAAGATAAGGAGAAAAGTAATGTAGAGAGAAAGAACAGGGAGGGGCTGGGGACAGGCCACTTGTTTACACTGGTTGGACAGGGAATTTGTCCTGCAAATCCATCCCCCTGTTGGGTTCAGAGGAGAGATCATCTGGGATTTTTTTTTTTTAAGATTTTATTTATTTATTTGAGAGAAAGAGAGAGAGCATGAGCAGGGGGAGTGGCATGGGGAGCGGAAGCAGGAGAAGCAGACTCCCCACGGATCGGGGAGCCTGACGTGGTGCTCATTCCTGGGACTCTGGGATCATGACCTGAGCTGAAGGCAGACACTTAACTGACTGGGCCACCTAGGTGCCCCCTCCCCCCAATCTGGGATTTTTATATAAAGTTCTGTGGGACCATGATGAGTACTGCATCTAAAATTAGGGTTTGTCCCCAAGTCCTGCATTCTAAATGACAGACTGTATAAACATTTAACAAAGTACTCTCAGAAGAGGTATTTGCAGGCCCAATGTCTTAGGAAATTAAATCAAATTGGTTGAGATCTGGGTCTCCACTGGTCACTGGGGCTCTGAAGAGCCTGGAGCAGCAGGATTTTGCTTGGCTCTCTCAAAGCATATTTCCCAGGGGAAAAGGGGGAAGGGAGGCAATGGCCAGAAACATCAGCAAACCCGATGATCCGCATCTAAATAAATAACGGGGTGGTCCTTGTTCAGACAGGCTTATCGGCATTTAAAGGAACTCCACTGACCTTCCTGAATTTCCTCCAAAAAAGATTCTTCCCCTTACTCATTCTAAGACCTTTTAGCTTTATCATTCCCCTCCCTGTTCATGTTTTCTGTTGGGACAATTTTATTTTGCATGAAAAAAAAAATCAAACCTTGGAACAAAGTGCAAGATCATTATCTTTATGCCATCCTTTCCCACTGCTGAGGCTGATTCCATAGAGCTCACGATCATGCTTCCTGAATCTAAAATTTGGACATGTGGTCTGAGCAAAGAATTCTGTCACATTTCTATGGGCCGATGGAAGGGAGCAGATGATAGCTTGGACAATGAAGTACCCGGATGACAGGATTAGTTCACTGGGTTCTGGGGATTGGGAATGATACTTGAAATCAGAATGGGATTCTAAAACTTGAGACACATGTTTGCTGAAATCACAGGTTTGTGTTAGTTCTCGAATTCTAAGAGCCATCATTAGACCACATCTCAGAGGGCAAAGTGGTCAACGAACCATTCAAAATCCACTTCTGATTTTGTGAAATACGCTTCATTTGGGTATTTCATTTGGGTCTCTTCATTTGGGCCCTACAGGTCAAATCCTATATGCAGAGTCAAATCAGAAGGTGTTCAGGCTTTCCGCTCCAACCTCACGCTTGACTGACATCTTTCTGTAGGCACTGTACCTCTGCATTATTGCTTCCATATTCCTGAGGGCACATTAACCCATCAATAATAACTGGTCTCTCTTCAGAAATAGCTTCTCTGTAAAACATTATTTCTGACAATAACAGAACATCATCTCAATATGTTCATCCACATCCAATTAACCTTTCAAAATGCCATGTTTGCTATGTATTTCTCCTCCCTCAAATATTTCTTGCTCCTGCCCCATGCACATTTTAGTAGAAAAATAAGGAAAATGTTTTCCATGCATGATTTCCATCCCTGACCCCTTGGGTTTCTCCTTGGCTTTGAAAGAAAGCAAGACACAAACAAAATGCCACATTGCCAAAGCAAGATTCTCATCGGGGCGCCCGGGTGGCTCAGTTGTTAAGCGTCTGCCTTCGGCTCAGGTCATGATCCCAGGGTCCTGGGATCGAGCCCCGCATCGGGCTTCCTGCTCAGTGGGAAGCCTGCTTCCCCCTCTCCCACTCCCCCTGCTTGTGTTCCCTCTCTCGCTGTGTCTCTCTGTCAAATAAATAAATAAAAATCTAAAAAAAAAAAAATACCTAGCTCCTCCTAATTAAAAAAAAAAAAAAGCAAGATTCTCATCAAATTAAGGACACGCCTCTGATTGTCACCAATGGGGAAGATGGAGAGAAGAGTGAGTCAGCACACGGTCCCTGCCCTGTCCAGCAAAATCTCACCCTCCACCTTTTCCCTTCCTGCTACCCCCTGGACTCAGTTTGTCCCAGACCGAGCTCATCTTCATGGGGCACTCCAGTAAAGGGAACGCTGTGCACAAGGCATGAAGTAGGAAAGAACACTTGGGAAGTAGGAACCCATGTTCGAGGAATGACACAGCTCAAGTGTAGGGTTGCTGGGAGGGATGAAATCAGGCTGGAGGATTCAGCTGAAGTGTTGAAGAATCTTGGTCGCCAGGATGAAGAATGAGAATTTTATCTGATGGCGTCAGCAATAACCATTGGACATCTCAAAAAAGGGAGGGCCGTGCTCGGATTTGTTTCCCGGATGATAGTTCTGGCTGCTGTGGAGAGGGTCCCAGAGTGGGGAGAACAGACAGGCTAGTGAGTCTCTCTCTTCTAAACAGGGTGTCAGGGATAGTTCAAGGACAAATGAGAGCTGTCGAAGACAAGGACAGACATCCCACGAATCCTCAGCCCTCAGCCCAATTAGAATGGGATGATCACAAGGTTGGCCTCAGACGACCAAGCCAGACTAAATGTCGTTTTATCTTGTGAAACAGATATTACATTAAAATGCTCTGCACAGTTCAACGAATGCCACCCCCACATGCCAGACTTCCGGAGTAGCATGGTCGCTCTGGAGGAATCTAGATGTGGGGAGGGAGGGCTGTAGCAGTTTTTCCTGACTGATGTCCAAATGGCCTGGAGGTTGGCTTCAGTGAAGTGCGTGGCCTCACAAGTGCTGCCAAGAACTAAAGGTGACATCCTGTTTCCTCGGGGCTGGATGGTCACTTCCTTCTGGGGTCAGCATGGAAAACATCTCCACCACCATCCAGAACTTTCAGGGGAAGATGCCCAGAAATGAATGGGGCCTGAATCCTGGCTTAGGATTCAGGTCAGTTGGTCCTTAGGAAGCTGGTCAGTTGGTCTCTGATGGGGATGACTTAATAATGCTGGTCTGTATCTCCAAACTCAGAGGCGCCACCCAAGGGCCATCCGTAGGGACTTAAGTGGGCACTAGAGTCTGCGGGACCCGGGTTTTGTGCTGGCTCTGCCACTTAGGAGCGCTGATCTTTGGATGTGTTAATTAGCCATCCTGAACCTCTCGTTCTTTGTGGCTGGGGATGGTATGGTGTCTATCTCACAGCAGTGCTGGGAGGATCTAATGAGGTAAACATAGAAGGCATCTAGCAAAATGCTTGAATAGGATGGCTTCTCAGAAAACATGGGATTTTGTTAATTACTGCCTTCATATACTGGATTTCATTGGGAACCTATCCATTTTTAAGTAAATTCCATCATCACATAACCACAGACCCACTCCTATTTCTAGAACAACACTCTCTAGTACTTCTCAGTCACAGATACTCTCTTCTTCATTTGGAGAAAGTCAGAAAAATCCAAAGAGCTAAGAAAGGACCAGTGTTCCCCATAAGGGTAAGGCACATTGCGTGGCCCCTTCACCCTTCCTGTTCCAAAGCACCTCGTGAAAAGGGACAGGATGAACATCTGCTCCTCGATCTACCTTTATTTCATTTTTTTTTTCTTACCATGTACTGCGGTTCAAAAGAGATATTTCTTGCTGTTACAAAGGCAATTGGACAACGGCCAGTTTCTTCCAGTGATTTCTGCAACATGTTGTAGGAAAATTTTACATGTTGCAAGCCATCACAAGAGAAATTGCTCAAGAATTGCCCTCAATTGTGTGCCAAAATTAACCTAAATGAAATTTCCTGAGGGAAATGAGCAATCTGCGTGACGTATCTGGTGGTGGATTTCACTGGGAGGAGGCCTCTGTACATCATGGCAGGGTAGGCTGGTGCCAGGCGTGCAGATAGTGGAGCTTCTGATTCCCTAATGGGAAACAGATGTTTCTGTGTGTGCTCAATAAACACACCAGATACGGCAACCTCAACTGGTTGGCTAGATGACACAGACAGGTAACACAACGTGCCTTAATAATCATGCTGTCACAACAGTGTGGGAGAATGTTATTATTAAAATGATTAGTATCTAACACCAATTTACTTTTATTTGCAGTAAGCTAATTCGCGGAAATACATACGGATGCCAAAACCTTTATTCATGACATTCTGTTGAAAGAAATCCTTTGCATAATGATAAATATCTCCCTCTTATTACTGTTAGGAATGTACATCAATACCACCTTCCTGGAAAGCCATGTAGCAATATATACTGTTTGACCCTAATTCTTCTAGGAATTTATGCTAAGGAAATAAGAAATTAGGCCAATGATTTCTGTAGGAAGCAGCTCATCACAGTTGTTATTATTAATTTAAAAAATCAGAAACATCCTAAAGTGTCCAACATAGAAAAAGTTAAACAATATGTAGAAATTCTCTGGGAAATGCTGGATGGGTCTTCTCCCACTGTTATTCTTTTAAAATCTGCTAGCACTTATGTCTACATGATTGACCCTCAATATAGTTCAGGAAATATTTCCTGAGGCAACCCCTACTATGTGCCAATAAGGTGTAGGCAGGGAGACATGAGGGTAAAACAAACATGATTCCTACTTATGGTCTAAATCAGTGGTTGGCAAATGACAGCCCACAGGCCAAATCTGGCCCACAACCTTTTTGTTGTAAATAAAACTTTATTA